TATAAAATACATAATTGTATATAATATATAATATAATATTATACAATATATATTATAATATATATAATATATTACATAATATATAATTGTATATATATAATTCAATCTGGTTTTTCTTATTTTTTCCATTTCTCTGCTGAAATTCCCCAACCATTCATTTATTTTTCCCATCTGTCCCTATTTAAGATAGATATTTTAAATTCTTTTCCGCTAATTCTTGTATCTGGATCATCTGTGGTTTGCCTCTGCTGCTGCTTTCCTTTGGTTATGAGTCCTGTTCCCGCCTCCTCACAGGTTTTGGATTTTCTTATTGCATCCTGGAAATTATATACAGAAGAAAATTGAAAATTGAAGAATAATACTGATTCTTCCGCCACACCCCCAACAAATGTCAAGTTCTGCTCTCATTCACTGGCTAAAGTGAGGGAGTGATTATTCATGTTTCAGGAAGTGTTCATTTGACTGGGAGTGAATGGTGGGTCACCTGTGGTCAGCCCCACCTCCCCCACCCAGCTTCTGTAGGAAGGGCTAGTCTCCTAGTACCAAGGGTTGGATTTGGGATTCCTCAATTTGGGGGACTGGGAGGACATGAGAGATGGCACAGATGAAATGATCTCTTTCTGCTTCTCGGTCCTGCCCTCACTTATGTTTTTCCAGGCAAGTTTGGGGAGTGGTGGAAAGGACTACTCTCCTCTGTTGAAAAAATTATTAGTGTATGTGATAGTGTTTCAGACACCAGGACCTCCCAGCTATCTCCAGCACCGCCAGTATCTCACCCGGCTTCATCTCTACCCTGCATCTTCACAGCCTTCTGCTCTCCCTGCAACCAGACCTGCCAGGTCTCAGCTCACTGACAGAGGGCTCCTCTCTCTGGAAGCTAGTTCATCAAGTCTCTCCTACCTCATCTATTCTCTGATGGTCTCATATACGAGTATGATTTTTATATTCTCCAGATTAGTTTTTGGTGTCCCCATGGGAGCCGAGGTCTTCTGTGTCCTAACTGGAAGCAATGAGTGCCTGGAATGGTAGCTGTTATTTTTAACACTAGAGGAAACTTCCTAACACAAGATGTCCTCGCCCTGAATTCTTAATAGCCAGTTTAGTTATGAAGCTTGTGTTTCATCCAGGAGAGGTGAAAATGAGACCACATAGGTGGCTTATTTTTAAAGGCTTAGTTGAGTTTCTAGCAAATGCTTTATGGGCTGCACTCCTGTCTCCCTACCTTTACCATTTCAGGTCCTTCCAAGGCCCAGCCTCTATGTCTTTTAGCTTGGGGGTTTTCTCCAAAAGTCAGTCCTGCCCATGTCCAGCAGGAGCAGTCCTTACCAACAATTGGTGGAGCCTGGTGGATACGCACTCCAACTCCCTTTCCCTTGGGTTGGATACCTTAGAAACCTGTATTCTAGATAGTCTCTCATTCCCCCAGAAGAAGTAAATCTCAGCTGCCCATAGGGGTAACTTACTTACTAATAAGCACACTTTCCTTGGCTAGTTTCTCTTCCTGGCCTCACTGACTCCCTCCCTGGCATGTCCTGGGATCACCTTCCAGATCAACTACCTGTCGTGGAATTGTTGCTTAGATTCTCCTGTGGAAACCCAACTGAAGATAGGTTTCAGTTCAGATGTGCAACCTCTGGGTGCTACTTTGGTTTGTGTAAAGGGGCCAACATGGATAGGGTGTCATTTGGAGAAAGGTGAAGTCAGCCAAGCTTACGTGCACCTTGCCAGGGATCATCAGGCCCATTTCAAGAATGCCAAGAGAGCTGATGCTGGAGTTCTTTATTATAAACTGGAGCCATCTGCCAGCCTGTAATAACTGGAATATGAACATCTTAATCTGGGATGCACTTAAGCAGTTTACTTTCTCTTTGTGCTTGTGTCTTTAAAGCCTAACATGTGCTGGATGGTGGACTTAAATTCATAAGTACATTGTTTCACAAAATTGGCATGAAGTTCTTGCCACCCAATATGCAAAATATATTAGTATGTTGTACCGAGAGCTTGGTGTTCTCTCTCTTACTATTTTTTGTTTTTAAATAAAGCAAGCTTGTAGGACTACAGCCCTGTACATGTCTTGTGGGGATGCCAAGGACTGCTCTAAAAGCCACTTTCTAAGAAGCAATTTTCTTCTTGTCCCATAAAACTCCCCAAAGCACCTTAGGCGAACACCAGAGCGCTGGGTATGTTTGCAAACTGCAAATACAGCAGACATTTAATTACATCGAATTCATCAGAACCCTAATTGAGACAGGAACTCAAAGCTTACTGCTTAATTACTTTGATTTCAGATGAGTAACAGACTTGGTCATGAGCAGCCCTTCAGGCCAGAATACATTAGAAAGAGGCCTGCAGGCACTCTCAGGGAATTCTCCCAGCCAAATGAAAGTGTGGGGCCACATAAATAACCATGCTAAGTGAGACCCATGATTGGATTTATTAATCAGTTCAATTCCCAGTATCCATCCCTTGCTGCGGTGTTCCACAGCATTGGCCCACCACCTGGGAATGCTTCTCCGGGTGTAAGGCAGGATTCATTTCTCACCCATTTTTCCTTTCCCTCTCAATGATGAGACAGCATGGAGGCAAAGCCTGGTCTTCTGAGACCGCCCTTCTATCTGCATCTTCTCATTTTGATTTTCACTTAGAAGAACTTCTTCCTGACCTTCCCTAACTTCCCCACCTGGCACCCCGCGGATGTTCCACTAGTTAGTAGAGTCCACCAATTTCTTGGCCAAAGGATCACAGTGACTTGTGGTGGGATTTGGAGGTGAGGACCCCAGGGATTGTTACTCTTCTGCAAGCCAAGGGTGGCATCTTCTATTGAGTATTTACCGGGTGGGCTGGCTGCTGCTTAATGCTGAACCTGTTCTGTTTCACCTGTAGGTCGATGCTAGGTGGTAGGTAGGCTTAGAGCCACCTGCTCCATAGATTTGTAAACAGGCTCGGAGGAGCGATAAAGTCACTTCTCCAGGATTTCATGGCCAGCAAAGGGCAAAGTCGGGATTCAAACCAGTCGGGATTCAAACCCAGGCCAGTCTGAGTCCCGGATCCATGTTCCTTCCGAAACATAATTTTCCTCCCTCTGCAAAGACTTCCGGGATTCTACAAACTGCTGGAAGAATAGAGGTGGATGGCCTTAGCCATCTCCAAGTGGGCACAAGACAAGGAGAAACAGAAGGAAGTGCTGGCAACCAGAATCATCACACGGGCGACTTCTCACAACATAGTAACAGCTACTTCTCTCTGCTTGCAAAGACCTTCCAGAGGGAGGAAAGTGACTGAGACCAGCACGAGCTGAAGTTCAGGAAGCAATCTGCCTTTTAAGCTGGTGTTCTAACCAAGCCAGTGATTAACCACATTGCTAATAAATTATGAATACAAATGAATGCAAACCACTTCATATGTAATTAGTTGCCTGGCATTTTCTAGGTACCTCCCAGTCATTTGTTTCATTTCTTTACGTGGCTTCTCCCCCTTTGGGCTCGCCTTTCCATCACGCTGCAGGTACAAATGACTAATGCACTAATGACAATGAGAATAACGGCCAGGTTAATAATCATACTGCTAATGGTGACAATGCTAATTAAGAGAGTGTGAACGGCAACAGCCTCTTCTGAGGATGTGACTATTCATCTCCACAAGGCAACGAGAAGACGGCCGACAAGAAGAGATCCACGCAAGCACAAATGGCACCAAAGGCAAAGACAGAGACTTGTTTTTTGGTTTTTGGGGGGAACTAACTATATTTATAAGTCTAAAAAACCCCACATTGTGGGTCCATACAATCTAAGACTAGAGATGATGGGTCAAAATGTTGAGAAAAAAGAAAATGTCAGTCCAGCAAGTTGGGCAGAACTCAATCACCACGTATGGACATGCCAGCGGGCTCTGGAGCCCATTCCTGGTAACATCGAGGTGTCCCTCTGCCTGTTACCCACAAGCAGCCAACCCATCAGGCAATCTGAACAAATTGACGGGCATAAAATGATGGCAGTGAGAAATGGGCAGTGGAGAACTGCAACCGTGTTCCAGGTGCCTCCTGCAGACTCTCCAGTCTGTATTAGAGAGACAAGCAGGATGGGTGCCCCTGGACGGCTTACTGGACAGCACAGGGGCCCAGAAAAGGGTGTGGAAGAAGGTTCAAAGACATTTTCTTTTGCCTTCAGACCAGCTAACCACCTCTAGCAGGACCCTGTGTCCTCACAGTGAGGGAATTGGTTAGGATCACAAGGCTCCTCAATAAAGCAAGGGGAGTGCCCTAAATGGGCTTCTAGAAGGTGCTTTTCCTAGAAGATCTTCAAGCCTGGGTGTCTGGGGAGAGCTCAGGATCAAAGCTCCCATGAGGGGATTAGGACGTCAGAGCTGGCAAACACACGGGTGCCTCAGCATTGCCTGGGGCCACCAGTGAGCCTTGAACTTAGGTGACTTCTGGGTGTCTTCCTAAGGCTTTCCAAAACAGACACCAGACCCCATGACAGTCCCTGGGAGTAGAACAGCCTCCAGAAACAAAACACAGGCATGCAAAGCCCCTCAGGATCCCAGAACGAAGCTAAAGTAACCACAAAAATAAATGGCTTGAAGGCTGTCCCAGAAAACCATCCTATGCTGTGACGGCAGCAAATGGTTTTTAGCGGAAAATGAAAATCCGTTGTTTCCTCCGTCTCTCTCTCCCTCACTTACTTTATCGCCAGTGAGGAAAACCCATACCCTAAATTGTTTTAGGTCATTCCAGTCCAGATCATGACATTCAAAATGAGCTGGACACCTTCAGATCCGTAGCCTGTACCTTCAGGCTGGTCAATTATTTATGTGGACCCAGGTGTTCTGTAAGCCATCAGCATGGAGACCAAACAATGGTGCCTGACAGTTTCCAGTCCCAGCTGGGCAGCCTCCTGGGGTGTGAGATCCCATGTCACTGCTGCCCGAGGCCACCGGCCCCCAATGCCCCACCTCCACGCTGTCCCCTCTGACCCCATGCCACGTCCCACCGCCGGCCTCACCTGCCCAGCAAAGAGCCCGCAGACACCGATGATGCACAGGATATTAAACACTGCAGAGCCCACGATGGTCCCAACTCCCACGTCGCCCTTGGTGATGAAGACCCCTGAAACAGACCTGATGTCAGCCTGGTTGTTGTGGCCAGTTACCCTCATGCAAGTGTGGGGAAGTTTTCACAAGTATTAGCTAGACCTTTCTCAGGGTCCACGGGAAAATGGCTGAGGATGGGAGATAGTTTTAAAATCTGCACTGGGGCTATTGTTCCGTGGGGGCACTGGCACAGGAACTGGGACACACTTGTGCAAAGTGAAAGTGTCATTTAAGTAAAAGAATGACAACCACCACAGTGGGGCGGGAAGACGGGTGTTCTGCTCCTTGGGGTCTCAAGAGTCTCATTTCGTATTCGCCAACCCACTGCAAGGCTGTCTGTCCCCACAGCCCTTGTCCTCAAGAGAGGGCAGGGCTGAGAGATGTTCCCAGGTCATCACCTACCTATGACGGATGTGAACAGCTCTGGGGCTGAACTGCCTGCTGCCATGAACGTGGCCCCAGCCACATCTTCACTGAGGTGCAGGCGCTACAGAGGAACAAGGACAAAGCACAGGTGAGTTGGGACTCCCCTGAGAACAAAGGCGATCATGACTCCTGAGGTCCTGAGCTCGGGGCCTCCCAGAACCATCCCCCTTCCACAGCTGGACCTTTCTTGCACCATCCCCTGCTGGGACACAGCTCCCCTGGCCATCCTCCTCAGGGGCAGGATGAGGGAGGGGCTCCATAGCTTTGTGAGTTAAAGGATCTTGACAAGATCTAGGAATCCCCAACCCAGGAGCCCCAGGTGGTGTGCAGATAACGGGGGGGGGGGGGGGCGGGGGGGGGATGGGCTAGTGTGAGGCATGGTGGGGGTCCACCTCCTTTCTAAAGGTATGCCACTCACTTCCTCCATGTTATCAAATAGCCTTACTTCTTAAGAGATGTCCAAATCCACATTTTTAGGCAAAATATTTTTTATTTTTTCCCCAGTAATTCTTTAGATATGCCTAAGGGCATATTTAGGTATGCCTAAATGCCTATCACAGGCTAAATGAGGCTCCCGGTAATCAGTTTGCAAGTCTAGATTCTAGGAGGTTATAGTGGCTTTGGGGGTGGAGGGGTCACCCTCCTGAAACCCACTGCTCATCACTAATGCAGGTTTGAACCCCCTTTTGGGAGAATGGGGCGGGGGAGCAGTGAGACTGAGACTGAGTGGAAAGGATGTGGAGCCGTCCAAGATGTTCTATACAATGAATCCTCCGAGTTACCCTGTCTGTAAACCCAAAACCTGATCTACAAGAAGATGAGACAAATGTACAGGTATCTGAGGCAGGTTAGTGTGTTTAGCCTTCCTGCATTCAGTCAGGACTCAGAACGTATGCTGCCCCCGCTGTCAGTAACTAGCGGGTTTCCTGCCGGGTCCCAGCCAGGAGAGACTAGTCTTGAATGACACAGTCGCTCTTCCCATTGCAGGATCAGCTGCACTTCCCTGCTCGGCCATGGAGGGGCAACATGGCCTCGGCGTAGGCCCCTGGCTCCATGGACCAGCAACCGGCTGCTGTGGGAGCCCTAATGGAGCACTTAGATCTGGAGTCCGGGGGATCCCTCACTCTGGACTGAACAGCTCAACTTCACATGTGGTTCTGAGAAGACTCTAAGAGGTGCTGATACCTCCAGTTGAAAGGTGTGGCTGTGAGGGGTGCAGGTGAGACCCTGGACAGGGAGTCCCTGAAGGTGACCTAACACAGAGCTCACATTCCTTGGTGGTCCATCAAGACTTGCCAGGAGCTGGGAGCCCAGGACTGCTGTGTCTGTTCCAGCTTGGGGTCCCTAATGGGCATCAGACACAGAGTCCACACCCTGAGCTCATCTCCAGTTCCTCTCTCTCTCCTTCAAACCCTGAAGTCTGCTTCTTCTCCCATGTTTCCTTACCTCCCCTCCTCTCTCATCCCTAATTCACCTGGGCTCTGGTAACATCTTGCTGGATGCTCCGAATTACCAGCTGGGGGGAGGGAGAGGGTCTTTCTGCCTCTGGACACCTCTATTTACAAGAACATAGTTGTTAAGAGCCTTCCTAGCTCCCTCCTGAGTGCTGGTAACCCTGATGTCCCTACCCCAGAGGTGGATTCCAGTCCTGGGTTCTCCTCCCTTTGTCCCAGAGCTCAGACTCTTCTCAGCACAAATATCTTTCCTTGAAATGTGTTGTCTTGAAATGTGAAAAATGCCTCCAAGGGCTGCTCCCATCCTGTCCCTGCACAAGCCCTTCCCTAACCATCCCCGCCCTCCATCCAGATCTCCCTCCCTTTTCCTCTATCTACTTTCCAACTTCCCAGAACTTCATCCAGCCCCGTGTGCCTCACCCTAGAGAGTGGCTATGTGTCCTAAGGCCTATAGATGTCAAGGACCATGCTCTGTCTCATCTCATTTCCTCCCCAAGGGGGTGTGCTCACAGGTGCTATGGATTTCCCCTATGGAGCAGAATACTTCCTGACAAGACTACACACATGTCTAGAGCAGGGTCATAAATTGGCTATAAAAAAAAGTTGTGTGGGAAAGAGAGTAGTTTGTTTTGCATAATGAATAGAACACCAAGTGGTGGTATTTCCAAGATCACAAATGACCGCAGTTATGGGTGCCTCAGCACCTCCTCTCCTGCCCTATAAGGTGACCCTGTGCTCAGGTGACGTTGCTTGGGACAAAAGGGTCCCACATGTGCCCACTATCCATCTCAGATGCCACCTCATTGTTCTCTTTCTCCTTCCACCCAATAAAGGAACCTCCTCCTGAGGCCCCTCCAGGGCTCCTGAGGCCCGATTCTCTCCCATCCATCCATCCATCCATCCATTCATTTTTAAAGTGCAAAAACCAAGCAGATTTCCAGGATATAGAAGAAACTATTTAAGTGAGTGATCTCTAAGTGAGGTTTGTGGACCAAGAGCCCCAGCATCATCTGGACACTTCACAGCAATGCAACTTGGGTCCTCTGCTTCCCCCAGTGACTCAGACAATCAGGGGTTGGTTGAGGGGGAGGGAAAGGGAAGGATGACCAAGTCTGAGAACTACATGAAGAACATGAGTCCCAGATGGGAGGCGTGTCTGGGAGAGAGGCTTTCGGAAAACAGGATTCTGAATTAAAAATAAAGTGGAAAGTTTCCAGATAAAGGAAACTACATTTCAAAACAGACGGAGATGAAAGAGGCGAGAGAATAAAAGTGTTCTAAATACGCTGAATATTTTCTGATGAAAGGGCTGTCATTTGGTCTTCAACCAGGCATTCCCGGGCTGAGTGAGAACAGAGTCCCTTTCCTGTTCTCTGTGGTCAGTTCTTTGATCATCTTCCTTCTTGGGCCTCTGCTTAGAGCATTTCTGCACATGTACAGAGGGGCAGGGCGGTGGAGGCGTGTGGCTGAAGGCCTCCTGCTCGGTGAGGACCCCACGAGGGAGGTCACAGATGCAGAAGGAAACAGAGGAGGGGAAGATGAGGAACACAAAGGGAGAAAGAAGGATTTAAAAGAGGAAAAGACAACAGGGAAATAGGACACAAAGAGCACCACGAATTGCCGAATGGAGCAGGGAGAGCTGGCCATAGGGGTGAAAGCCCAACTATGGGTCGGTACCCTGACATTCTAAATGGACCAATGAAGCTTTTGTGCTAATTTTGCTGGTCACTCAGAAGGACGCTGATGCCCGGTGCTCCCGCGCAGTGGCATGGAGGGCTCCCCAGGTCCTCAGTGAAGGGGGCTGGGGCAGCATAGTTGCATCACCTGCCCAGACATGCTGAGAATATAAGGCACGTACCTCACAAATCTTTTCCAAGGAGGGGACAAAGAAGTCGTCACACACAATGGCCAGTGCGTAGAACATGTACATGGCCTGGAAGAGAAGAAAGAAGGTGTTGAAGTCAGAGCCAAGGCAGAGCCATAGGGTGAGGGTCTGTCTACCCTCTGCTTCAATAACACCCTCCAACATCATGGATGCAACATGGTAAAGTATAAAGACAGCATTGCCTGGGAGGCCCTCTGCGATCTCACCCGTCATCTCTGACCTCATCATCTACCACTCTCCCCTTGTCCACCAAACAGACAGGCAGATGCCTGCCTCAGGGACTTTGCACTTACTGTTCCCTCTGCTCAAATCATGCTTCCCTCAGATGACCTTGGCTTACTCCATCATGTCCTTCGAGTCCCTGGTTCAATGTCAACTTAAGCAAGGGTCCTTGGACTCCCCTCCCTCCCATTTCTCTCTACCCACCTTATCCTGACTTGTTTTCCTTGACGTATTAATTTGTATGTTCTCCATCTTCCTCACTAGAAGTCCAAGAGGATGTGAACTTTGTCTATCTTATTTATCCCCAGCACTGGGCACAGTGCATAATAAGTGTTCAATAAATATGTATGCAATGAAGGAATAAATTAACAAACACTTCAACTGAGGCTGTTCACTGTGCTGTTCCCTGCAGAACAGACTCTGCAATCTTGCTTCTTGTCAGCTCTGACTAGGAAAAACCCTAAAGTCTACGGTTTGGCCATAACTTACCTCTCTACCTGTTTAACTCAGGTTACTTCTCTAATTAGTAAAATCTTACTTGGATTCCATTGTTGGTTGACCAGCTAGCATCGTCTTCCACTCCATCCCAATGGGACCCCAGTTTCATCCCAATATCCACCATATCCTCTGGGAAGGTGACCCCACCCTTTCCTCCCAGAGTAGATACTGACTGGGCAATAGTGTAACAGTGTTTCCCACTGATGGCTGGTGGTTCAAGGATGGACACATGATCTGGACTGGTCCAATGACATGGCAGGAAATGTCTTAGAGTCCTTGCCAGTGGGTGCCATTTCCCAACCTCCAGCACTGGTTACAGACAAGGAAGCTAGGACTCCTGACTGCTCCTAGCAGCCATGTTGAGGGAAATGGGATATAAGATGAAGCTGACTCTGAGTAACTTAACAGCATCACCAAGCCATTGAGCATATCAGGCTGGAGCATGCCTGCCTCTGGACTTCGTAACAGGGCATTCAGCAGACCAGTCTGATTTGGAGTTTTCCTGTTACTTGACACCTAAAACATCAAATGGGTATAGCGGCTCATCCTTTAAGTTCAGCATCCTCTACAATGACATCGCTTTCATGTTTTCATCTCTCAACATCTTTTCCTTTTGAGAACTGCTCCACCAGACAGACCTTAATCACATACTCTCAGCCTCTCTCTGCACAGGGTGCAGGCACAAGACCCAGGCTAGGCGCCAGGACATCCCATTCTGTGTCACACAGTGGTGGTGGGCAAAAGGTCTGCAAGGGGCCAAGGAAGGATTGACAGAGAAACTGGGAGAGAGGGGCTCTCTCCTAATGAGATATAAATACCACTCAAGTTTGGAGCTGCTGGAGGCAGTTGGTGTGTAGAGAGAGTTTGCCCAAGAATGCAGTTCATGTAGTAAGAAGACCATCAAAGAGATGGGACAGACATATCCACACACAGATACACACATACAGACATACACATTCACAAAGACAGATAGACACACACACACACACACACACACACACAGGTGCTCAACGACACCTCATGAACTCTGGACCCAGCTCAGTCTGAAGCCAAAGTCAGCCTTCCAATTTCATGAGCCGATAATATGCCTTTTACACTTAAGATGACTCGAATGGAGTTTCTGTCACTCACAGGTGTCCTTCATGAAGCCTTCTGTAGCAACCCAAGCATGAAATGATCTTTCTGGCCTCTGACTCTTGGTTGTTGCACTAATTTAGCCATCCCTCCCCTACTCTATGAACTCGTTTTCCTTTTCACACCTATGTGCTTGGGCTCTTTGACCAGACTGTAAGATTCTAAAATACATCTTACCACCTGATTCTACAGAAATATCAGACGAGTGCACAAAAACATATGCAGCGGGGATATTCTTTCCAAAATGCTGACTATAATAAATTATCAAAACCTAACAAAATATACAGTAGGGGACTGGTTATCTAAACTGTGGTTCATCACTCAATGAAATCCTGCTAAAAGAGATTATTTTAGTCCACAGTGAACAACAAGAAAAGGCATTTACAATACATTGCTAAGTGAAAAATATTATAAAACAGTGTGTACAATCTCTTTTTGGGTATCATCTATTGTATAAACACATTAGTACAGGGGGGTAGGAGCGGAGGAGTAGGAAACCTAAATATCAGGTCCCAGGAGTTCAGCTAGATAGTTATCAAACCATTCTGAACACCTACAAACTCAACAGGAGATCAAAGAGAAGAAGAGCAGCAATTCTAAGAACAGAAAAGCAACCACTTTCCGGAAAATAGGACACACAGAGAAGTGAATCTGAGGCAATATTTGGGAAGAGAGACCGCAGAGGGAAGGGCTGGCTCCTGGCAAGTGGTAAGGCAGGGGAGCATAAAATAGGAACTTTTAGAAGTCTGCTCCACTGAGGGACATCACCCCAGAGACAAATCAGGGGGTGGAGCTCTTGTGGGGACAGTGTGTCTCAGGACCCGTGGGATCACAGATAGACTGGGGATGTCTGAGTGGTGGCAAAGCTTCCAGGTATCAGAGCAGGGAAGCCAGAGGCAGAGACAGAGTGAAGCATTGGGCTCTCAACTCAGGGTTACCTTCAACCATGATCTGGGGCATCGCTGGGTCACTACTCTTTGAGCAGGGACCCCACAAGGGGCAGATCCGGGGAGACTCTCCTTCCTCCTCTGGAAGGAGTGGTGTGGGAGCATGTTGCAGGAATCTGCTGGGTTTGAAGACTCCAAATGGGACCAGGCACCAGAGATGAAAATGCTTGGTCACAGTCTGGATGAACTTGGAGTGTGGCCGGAGACCAGGGAGATGGGAGGGATTGCCTACTTTTCTCTGAGGGTGGGCTAAGGAGCAGGCCCCCAAGCCCTCAGCTACTATGGGCCAGAGATTGGGAGGCCATCAACTTCATTCCCGTCCTCCAAAGCTCTATGGAAAGCGTTTGGGGAACAAAAGCTCCAAGAGCGAACCTGAACAGATCGCTTAGCCTGGTCCCTGGCAAGGGCAGTGCAATTCCGCCTGGGGCAAAGACATTTGAGAATCACTGCAACAGGTCCCTCCCCCAGAAGATCAGTAAGAACATCCAGCCAAGTTCACCAATTGGTGAAAACTGCAGAACTCCAGAGGTAGGGGAAAGCAACACATAGAATTCATGGTTTTTCTCCATGATCGTTAGTCTTTCAAAGTTAAATTTAGAAATTCATTTTCTTATTCTATTTTTAAAAATTTTTATTTTTTTAAAATTTCTTTTCAGAGTTCCAGAATTCATAATCAAGATTAGAGCAGAGATCAATGAGATAGAAACTAGAGATATAATAGAATGCATCACTGAAACTAGAAACTGGTTTTTTGAAAAAATCAGTAAGATCGATAAACCACTGGCCAAACTAATCCAAAAGAAAAAAGAGAGGACCCAAATTAATAAAATTATGAATGAAAAGGGAGAGATCACGACTAACACCAAGGAAATAGAAATAATCATCAGAATTTTTTTTTAATCATCAGAAATTATTATCAACAATTATATGCCAATAAGTTAAGCAACCTAGATGAAATGGATGCATTCCTGGAAACCTATAACCTTCCAAAACTGAATCAGGAAGAAATCGACAACCTGAATAGACCAATATCTAGTAATGAGATTGAAGCAGTGATCAAAAATCTCCCAAAAAACAACATCCCAGGACCTGATGGATTCCCTGAGAAATTCTACCACACATTCAAAGAAGAAATAATACCTACTCTCCTGAAACTGTTTCAAAAAATTCAAGCAGAAGGAAAACTTCCAGACTCTCTTTATGAAGCAAGCATTACCCTGATCCCCAAACCAGGCAAAGACCCCACCAAAAAGGAGAATTTCAGACCAATATCCTTGATGAATATGGATGCTAAGATTCTTAACAAGATCCTAGCTAATAGGAAACAATGGTACATTAGAAAGATTATCCACCATGGCAAGGTGGGATTTATCCATGGGATGCAGGGGTGGTTCAGCATTCACAAATCAATCAGTGTGATAGAACAAATCAATAAGAGAAGAGAGAAAAACCACATGGTCCTCTCAATTGATGCAGAAAAAGCATCTGACAAGATACAGCATCTGTTCCTGATTAAAACAATTCAAAGTATAGGGATAGAGGGAAGATTCCTCAACTTCATAAAATCTATCTATGAAAAACCCACAGCAAATATCATCCTCAATGGGAAAAAGCTCACAGCCTTCCTGTTGAGATCATGAACACTACAAGGATGCCCACTCTCACCACTCTTGTTCAACATAGTATTAGTCCTAGCAACAGCACTCAGACAACAAAGAGAAATAAAAAGTATTCAAATTGGCAATGAAGAAGTCAAACTCTCTCTCTTCACAGATGACATGATACTTTATATGTAAAACCCAAAAGACTCCACTGCCAAACTACAGGAACTCATATAGCAATTCAGTAACGTGGCAGGATACAAAGTCAATGTACAGAAATCAGTTGTTTTCTTATACACTAACCATGAAAATACAGAAAGGGAAACTAGAGAATTGATTCCATTTACTATAGCACCAAGAACAATTAGATACCTGGGAATAAACCTAATGAAAGAGGTAAAGGATCTGTACTTAAGGAACTACAGAACACTAATGAAATAAACTGAAGAAGATACAAAAAGATGGAAGAGCATTCCATGCTCATGGATCGGAAGAATAAACATTGTTAAGATGTCTATACTGCCTAGAGCAATCTATACTTTCAATGCCATTCTGATCAAACCACTGGTATTTTTCAAAGAGCTGGAACAAACAATCCTAAAATTTCTATGGAACCAGAAGAGACCCTGAATTGCTAAGGAAATGT